TTGATATTCGTATGAGAGTTATTTATGGAATATCATGTGTTTCGATTATGCATGCTCTGTGGTTTAGCTAATAATCATGTGGAGTTGAATTTTAAAAGGTTAATGAAAACCATGTGGACAACCAGATATGATTTGGTTGATGTTTAATGTTGTATAACGCCCATGATTTCGAAAATGAGTTCGAAAATTTTATACTGATTTTTGGAAAGTCCAGAATTTCTTTAAAATCAAAGTGGGGTGTTACAGTTTGGTATCAGAGCCAGTCTGCGTTTCTGTAGACTGGTTTATATGTGATTATGTGTTTAGACCTTTTAATATGACCACTCGTCTCCGTCACTCCGCGCTGCTTAAGCTATGTTTTATATAAGTATCAATGAAAATACTTATAATGTGAATTGTGATTTCGCACGAGTATTAATGAAACTACTTCTGATATTTTGCACGAGTAGCAATGAAACTACTTGTGATGTTTTGCACGAGTAGCAATGAAATTACTTGTGATGTTTTACATGAGTAGCAATGAAACTACTTATGAGGTTTTGCATGAGTAGCAATGAGACTACTCATGAAGTGATATATATGTTGTTTTGGGGCTTAGGAAATCTATCCACCCGTGAACTCTAGTGTTTGACATTGAACTCTAGTGATATAGAGTTATGTTCGGACTCTAGAGATTCTTAGTTGTGAGTTCCAGTATTTTTATTATTGAGATAAGTGATGTTTATAGCATTTTCTCGCCATAAGATTCGTTCAGTGTCCTTGGAGTAGGACCATTCGTGACCCATCTCGAAAGAGAAAGGTTAAGTACCGAGTGAATCTCTAGTGTATGAGATCACTCGGGGAAATTAGAACCTCAGTCGTTGAGGACCGGGAGTGTCGTTTAGATTTCGCGAATTGATTACTAATCGACCCCCATAGTTTAGGAGAATCTAATGTGTATCACTGTCGTAACTCTTGAGAGTGGCTAAGCCTCGAGGGGGACGATGGTTGATAATTCTCGTACATTAGATCGAGCGTAAGTCCTGAAGACTGATGCATGGATGAAAGACGACGATGTTGTCCATAGGACGAGTGGATTGCTCCGACATCGCGTGAATATCTTGTGATTTGGCTGCGAGGCACGCAGTTGGAAAAGGTATGAATTTTTTTTAAGCATGATGTTGTGGCTCTATATGACTCGAGATGTTAAAAATTGATGTTATGAAAAGCATGCTTATATGATTGAACTTGACGATTATTGCACGACTGGGATTCTTTAAAACGTGTTATGTGGTGATTATATGAGTTTATGTGAATTTGTGTTAAAAATCATGTTAGGACTAACCTCCCTATATCTTATATGTGTGTACTTGAGATATACGTTGTGATTATATATGGCTTGATGATGCTCGGTTCATGAGTGCATGATTTTGTGTTGGCATTTAATTGAAAACTCCATGTTTTAGCCGTTGTTTGTGCTCAGATTCTCGTGGCCTACAAGTTGTTTTCTGGTTAGGTGTTCTTCATAAATTTTGTAGTGCTTTGAGTTAGGTTTCTGTGAGTTTTAAAATTTCGTGATTCGGAGTTGAACTGAATTTATTATGAATTTTTGAAGTTGTAACTGCGAGCAGTTTTTAAAATTTCAGGCAGAATTGTGAATCATGATGTTGGGCTGTTTTTGACAATGTTAATGTGACTATGTGAAAATATGATCAACATAAAACTTGTAGTACATGTTATAAGCTTTCTCTGAAAGTTGAAATCTTGTAATTTGGTATTTTATTTGATTTTATATGATTTTTCAAAGTTGGAGTTATGCCCAGAATTTTTAAAACAGTGATTGTATTTACGATTGAAATGTATGCTCCGAAATGAGGCCCTTAACGTGATTATTTGTAAAGATGCCCTTCTTGGAACTTGTAGCAATTCAAGTGTAGTTTCTGTAGATTTTGAGTTTGCATAATTCGGAATTTGTGGCATGAGATATTCCTGATTTAGTGACCTACTATAATTTATAAATAGTTTCGTTGGCAGATTTCTTGACCTAAGTGTTTTATGCTTAAACTCGGTTTTAAAGTTATTTTTTGCTAAGTGATCAACACGAAAGTTGTAAATATTTGAGTTAGCTATCTTGAAGATTTTAAATTTCAGTAATATCATGTCTGTAGCTTCGGTTAATGTGCATACACGTAGAACCTGTCAAACTGTATGTCTTCATTTATCCACTGCACCTATGTTTTGTATGTTTGCTCTATTATGTGCATTTAAATGATTTTATCTGCCTGAGTGTTCTTCATGAAAGTGATAGAGACCTGAGTTAGGGATATTTTTCAAGTAGTTTTTACATGATACGATATCGAGACTAAAAACTACATGCATCTTAAATTCATCACGCATGCTGGGAATTGGTGCAAGTTCATGTATATGTACCCTACGTGACTATTTCCTGCTTTGAATTGCGATCATGATTTAAATGTTTGCTGAAAAATATATGATCGAACGACCTTGTATGCTTGTGTGATTTGAATGAGAATTATAGCCGCATGTCTTAGGATTTATATTCGTCTTAAATCATGCTTATATGATGGGTATGTTGCAAGTTATATATCTGATAACAAGATGTTGTACTGTGTGATTTCAGTAAACATGAGCTATGTTTTTGAAAATAAGTGTTACCTTCAATATGCATGCCTATGTGCCTTATATGAATTAACTTTTTTGTTGTTATATCAGTGTCGACTGGAAACACTTGCGAGAAAAGCTTTGCGCTAAGATCTCGAAGTGTAGGAATTATAGGTAGCGTATGTGGTTGAACTCGTTTAGGACTACCGGTATGATTAGCTACCTGAGTAAAAGCTGTCGTGACGGCCGACACTGTTAGTCGGTAGAGTCAAACGAGCTAACCATTCTGTTGTTCGGCGTTGAACGCCGAGTTAGAACTTTTCCTGACAGTGATGCCAATGTTCGATCCCTTTTGGAGAAATTGTTGTTGTCAAACCCTTTGTCCTGTCGGCGTACTTAAGAAATTGTGAGATTCGGAAATTGAAATTTCTGGTATGTGCCTCGAACCGAGTGCCGAACCTGACTGGGTGTAGCCTCGCGAAGTGGTGGCCGAGCCCGCACGCCCGTGCTGAGAGACGTCAGGCCAACTGCAGTGGTCGATCGTTGATTCGCACGAGAGCTGCCGCCGCCATCACCGAACGTCAAACTCCCCAGGTCAGTGTGTACGGCCAAACCTTGACCTTGTAGCTGGTATCCGAGTGGGTACATGCACGCGTCCCAGCGCCCCGCATATGCAGCGCCAGCGTGTGTGTCACCTCTCGGGTGACAGTGCATTAAACCCAGTCCCACCCTGTCCTTTTAGGGGTCTTTGAACCATATCTTGGTTAAAGTGTATGTTGATCTTTCGAGTCGTTTTGTGAATGCCCTAATCAACAATCCCCGGTGTATGAGGTTTGTCGATTAGTTTCCCATGCCACATGCGAGATTTTCTCGAGATGGCGAGATAGTAGTTTCCGTAGTAAT